TTTGTGTGACCAGTGTTGTCAATCAAAAGCATTTAATCTAGAATACAGTAAAGAGGGACTCCTACTTCTTATAGCTTATACTGAAGCTGCGTAAACAACATTTCGTTTTAGGGCATGAAATGTCCTAAAATGGATTTGTTAGTACTCTTCCGTGAATATTTACAGGGCAAAAGACCAGAGTTGTAATATTCTTATTATCATGCCTCTGAGGAGCAGTGAAATTCTGATGCTTTTAGGATATCCATCACTAGAGGCCTATATAAACGAAACTAGACAAATTTCTCAGGAATGGCATTGGTATGAACCTGCTTTGCATAGGGCAGAGACTAGATGAGTTCTTAAGGTGGCTTCCAGCTTTTTCATTTCAGATACTGTAGGTGAAGTTTTGTAAACTTTTTAACCTGTGCTTGAGAAATGCTCAATCTGAGCATCAGTGTGCATTCAGCCTGTTCATGAATGCCGTTCATTCAGCATTTGGCTGTTTTTGAATCAAGCACTGTTTGATTTGACTATTTTACCTGTTAAGATACTTGCCAAGCCTATCCCAGATTCCTCTGCAGAATTTTTTTAGTTGTAGGTATGTGCTTGCTAAGATTCTCAGGTGGCTACTGGAGACATGCCTGGAGAACCAGTGTGAGTGTTTCAGACCAGACATAAGATTGTACATCGCAGTATTTCTGCAGTGTTTATATTTGTTACCTGGTTTTGGTATAGCCCATAATCAGTTATTCCCCAAGTGACAGACAGTATTTCAATTTTCCTCTGAGATGGCTAAGCTGGAAAAGAACCTTGTCTCTTAGCCCTGGCTCTTATGCATTTGGACTTTGGCAGCAATATCTGATAGTACTTTTGCTGGACTTTAAGGATAAAAATATGATTGATGGCTAAAAAGACACAAGAAAATAAGGATTTCTGTGACTGACCTTCCAGTGACATTGTTGGGAGCGTGATAAATCAAGCCGCAAAGCTGCGTGTGTAGAGCATTTACTTACATTATACTCCGTAGTGCCTTTGAGTAAGTATTTCCAGACAATTATGTGACAAGGAAATTATTTTGCATTTTTTTTCCTTTGATGGGAAGGTTGCTGCTGTTACTTTTCTTATTATTGTAATGATAATTGTTAAACATTTCTGTTCAACATTTCTGCAGGTCTGTATTTTTCCATCAGAGTTCACAGAGAACAGACCCATTCTGCCTTCTTTCCTTGTCTTGGTTATTATCCTCCTCCATAAATGACACAAGTGGCTTCAATTAGCAGCTGTTGGCCATTCGGTGGTGTGTGTTTGTCACAAGTCCTGTGACACTCGTGAGCCTGACCATTCCTTCCTGCTTTGCTGGATGCAAAAATTTTGCTTTTACTGCCCAGATCCTGTGTAACCATCTTTAAACTAAGTTCTACCAGGCTAGTGAAGGAGAATCCTAGAAGCATGCCAGCACCCCTTGGCTGGTGAGTTTGCCACTGTTCAAGTGAGTCAGTATGTCTTGCTGCATGCAGCATCCCCTGGGAAAGAGGAGTCTTGAAATCACTCTTAGTGCTGGACAAGCTTTTAGTGTAAAGTAAAAGAATACGATTGTACTAAAATGCAAAGCTTAAGAAACCAGCTGCTGTGCATTCTGAAGATGCAGAATACTAGAGCATAGCTCACCACACAGTCATGCTGCTTTGGCTAGTTTCTGTCTTCTGCTGACCTGGTTGGCATGATAGTCATGCTACCTCCCAGGACAATTCACACAGGTCCTAGATTTGTGATCTGGATTTTAGAACTTTTTATCCGTTTTATGGTTCATGGTTTATCTCTTTTATGGTTTAGGGTGAGAGCTTCTCCTTATATCCTATTTTCTCAACTATGAATGCCAAAAATTAGCAGCCTTAGTATTTGGCCTTACTCTTACCCAACTCTTTCCTTCTTTTGTGAATGAAATTATTCCTCAAGCTTTTTAAGCTGTAATATACATTTAATATCTTATAACATATACATTATGTACCACATTTTACACAAAAAGGTAAAACAATGCGTGTCTTATCACTACCTCTTCACAGAAACTGTTTGATGGCAAATAATCTGGGAGTGTGGTGTATTTGGAATAAGAGGTTCATAAACATGGCTTAGTGGCTGACGGTGCAAGAATAGGGCTATCGTGGTTTTCTGTAGGTATCCATACAATAAAATAGTGTAGAATATAAAGAATATTCTGCCAAGGCAAAGTTCCTGAAGCACTTCTGTTTCCTTCAGGAAGAGCTTCTATCTTAACTGACACTGAAAAAGGATTTTAGATGTGTCTCTTGCTCAGGTTCCCTCAGAGGTCCAGCCTAGAAGCTGTACTTGAAGCACATCTGCCCAACATGTGCTGACAGAGAGTTTAACATTGATCATAGCAGCCATAACCATTTTCCCTGAAAATCATGATCTGAAGTGATTTGTCATTGAATTTGTTGTCATTTATACAATAATGTCATCCACAAGGACCTCCCCTCGTCCCCGTCCCTGCTTTTAGGACTGATTCTTTTGATGTGGGGTGTTGATTTTGATGATACTGTCATAAGCTTTCCTGAAAGAGAAGTTCAGGAGTAAACAGGACAAACACAGACTTTGCCACGATGTGTTTTTGTGAGAAGGAATATATCCTCAGGGAAACATGAGGAAAACTAGGGGACAGGGGAGCAGCAGGCAGGACTGAATGGTCTGATAAATTTGGAAGTTAGAAGCAGTGAGTGATGAGAGTAAGAAGTAGTGAGTGATGAGAGTAACAGTTTCTGTTGTGAAGAGGATGAGTATCATCATCTAAGAGTCACAATTTTGAAACTCATTAGGAAGGCCGAAAGCTCAGGAATAAGTGATCGATCTCTCTGAGTTCACTTCTTATGTGTCTTTATGGAGAAGTTAAGCTTAAAAAGACATAATCTGTTTGTTTTGCAGCAAAGATTTCCCTTTTGTGCTTAGCATATAGAGATTTAATTTCAGAAGCATGATCCTAAATGTCCATTAGTGAAGCTATAATAAACATTTGTCTGTTTATTCCTTAAGCAGCATGTTTCTTAGAGCTATTCCTCTTGTTCCTTATTCCACACTTTCTCATGTCAGTCAAATTATCAGTAACAATAATCACAAATCCCATTAGGAACTAATTACATATATGCAACTTCAAGCTAGTTTACCTCTTTGCTAACATTATCTCCAAGATTTTTAACTGCAGTCAATCCAGCTTGCTTCTGGCTCTATTAATTATGGTTACACATGTTTACAAAGTATTAAGACCTCAAACTCATCTTGATGATATTTTGCTGCTTCAGAAATAAGACCTATACAATGGAGTAATGTACAGTTAGCTTACTTTCTCTGTCTTCAGATGCATTGAACTCTGGCCACCAGCCACTCTTAAGAGCACTACCATTCTCATTCATATCTGCTCAGTTCCCGAGTGAAACAGTGAGATCCCCAAGTGATCTTGTTTTTCTTGCTTATGTGCTGTAATTGGAGTTGAGGACAGAGCCTTGCTGACAAAATGTGGACAAAGATGACATGCAGCAGACTGGAGAGTGGGGCATCACAGGGACATGGGATAGATACTTTTGAAAGGTGTTACATGAATTCACTTTTTCCCTGAGAACATGAAGGGACAGGGTGTAATTCTTCCAATAGGGACTCTGAAAAACAATGGCTTGCACGGATGTGGTGCACCTTGCAAGGAAGCTATGGTTTTGGACCGTACCAAAAAGAACAATCTATTTCAAATATTTTAGCGAAGTAGTTTTTATATGCTGTTACAACTGAGATCAATATTTACATCAACATGTATATATTGGTGCATTTCTATAATAATCTGTGTAATTGTCTGTCTTTGCTATGTGCATGCATCCCTTCCCCAGACAGTGATGGAAATTAAGGGGAACATTTGCAACCAACAAGGAAAAAAAATAGTCTATGAAGACATATCATACTTGTTAAAGTGACACTTGTGGCAACCAACTTGCTGACTTTAGGTGTTTAATGAAAACAGAATCGGTATCTCCTCTCTAGGTGGATAGAGAACTCCTTTGGGATTTAAACACGTGCATCAGGAGAAAAATACACCTGTGTATTTCTGGAAAGTTCACACCCACAGGGTTGCACTTTGTTTCTGCAGTCTGGATAGTTAAGAAAAAATGCTCTTTGAGAAAGAATATGAGAACAAATCCTAAAGCTTGGTATTTCCAGTACTCAGTTTTAAAAAGCAGCTTTCAAATACTTGTGTCTGTATTGCACTTTACTTGTAAAGCTATTAATTTAAAAAGCCTTCCTGAAACCCCACTAAACTCTTTCCATTGCAGGGAGAGGTCCTTTATGACTGTACAAGAATGGGGCAAACTTCCAGCTGATTGATTTATAAACGCCTGAAGAAAACATAGTTTATGTGGAAAGTGGCGAAACATCCTTAACCAAAGTGATGTCACTGGATGCCACTTCAGTTTAATAAAATAAGTTGTTCCAAAACGGCTGAAGGTAGATAGAAGGCAAGGCAGCTCTAAAGGACAGAGAAAAGAGTGGGAGGAGAACTGTGAAACTAAAGGATGCTTCTTCTCCATTAGTTCTTCCCAATTGCCCATGTCCAGTAGAAATGTTCTCTGAAGAAAAATGCCTTGGGTTATTGATTTTATGCAGAGAGCTTTCTATCTTACAAATCAGCAAAGCAGCACCTTCCTTTTGTTTTTTTTGCTTAAAGTCAGTTACTTCATCGTTCATGTCCTTTGTAGCCACAGGAACCCATAAAAAGTCGGTATAGTTTGTCTAGTTTTCACGTGTCTTCATGCCTTCCTTCACCCAGTAAGTATGCTTGCACGTGTGTTGGGAGAGACTATGAGCTGCTGTTTTTTATAAGGTTGGCTTTTATGTCATTACAGTGTGATGAGTTTATAATGTTTTTCTGCCTTTTAATTTCATTTGGAAAAAATGAAGTCATTTTTGCCTCATCATGTATGTTCTGCAAAAACAATTTAATACTAACGTCTTTTATTATGCAGAGCTGGTTATTTGCCTCAGAATATTCCTTTGGAGATTATCAGATACCTTTCAGAGGAGAAGGATTTTCTGCCATGGCATGCTGCCAGCCGAGCTCTTTATCCTCTAGATAAATTGCTGGACCGCACGGAAAACTACAACATCTTCAATGTAAGAGAGACAGTCTCCCTCCCTCCCCCCCAGCCCCGTGCCTTCTCTCTCTCTCTCCTTTCACTGCCAGGAGTTGAACTATTCCCCAGTCAGATACTGTGAATGACCTAGGGGTATTAGCTTTCTTCCTAATTATTCTTTATTTAAACATAGCAATTGTCAAGCATTTGCGTTTGAACAGTGATAACTGTTGTTTGAGGCATATATGATTAGTAGAAGGAAAGGTAATTATCCCTCCTACAAAATATTATGACAAAGTATTTCACTTAAAAGAGCCAAAGTAATCTATTTCCAGATTTTCTCTTTTGAGGAGCCCTATGGCGATGTTTAGATTGATGCCCAAGCTCAGCAAGGACACCAAATACAGGCGCAACTGAAGTAAAGATTTGTAGTCAGTATTTCATCCAAAAAAACACGGTGAATTCAATGCAGTTACCTTAATTAACAAGGATTAGATCACCATTGAATCAAAAGCCCATTCATAATTGGGTCCAAAGGGATAGCAGTAACAGCTAGCAGTAGATAATTAAGATAGACATGACAAACATTTTACCATTTTACCTGAAATAAATTAAAAAAAATGCTAGCTACACTGAAGCATGTTTGATGAAGTACACAGGATTTGATTGCAGTCAATGACAATTATGAACTCTTGGGGTTTTTTATTCACTACGAATTTTATGTCATCTACATATTTTCAGTGGCCAACTGTAATTTTATGTAATTTTGTAAAGCCTTCAAATGAAGGAACTCTCTAAAGCCTAAAATGCTTAAAGGTGCTTTTCTCTTCTTAAACATATATTTACTTGTGTGTATGTCCACAGACACACATACTCAGAGAGCAGGAAACTAGAGGTTGCTGGATGTGTGTATATATGTAGAAGTACATACATGTGTATGTACACACAGAGAAATACCTGCTAACATGGAAAATTATTTTTGTAGAACATATAGTACACATTAATAAAGACACATTGAAATTCTTTCTGTGCAGTGTAGGCGTGCATGCAAACCAGAGCCATAATATAAAATGATGTGGAGATAACGTGCATGCTTAGTCTGTTGTTAACTGCACAGAAATATTCTTATGAGTCTGCCATTGCTATTTCACTTTTAAACATGGCTGTGTAAAGAAAACATAATTTTAATAAATAAAACCACTAAAATTCATGTCTGGGTTGTGTTTTATCACTATTGATGAGAGCTTTGAAAGCAGAGGTGATAGCAGAGGAAATAAAAAGTGGTTTTAGTCAAAGAATAACATATCTGCCAGAGAAAGCTGCACTATGAATCTCCTTTTGTGTTGGCATCATATATACATGCCCGTGCATCCATAAGAATAAAATAGATGCTGTCCTATGCGGTTTTTTATATATCAGTTCTCTTTTTCAAATTGGTAAATTCCAGTGGTAAAAGATTATGCTGAATACAATGACAGTGGTTTTCTTCACAACTGGCCAGAATATGTAAATAAGTCTCCTGTCTAAAAAGTAAAAGTAACTAAAATAGATCTTGGGCTCGTTTTATTCTTTAAGCACACCAAGAACCTAAACTTAAAACATAGTGTCATTAAATGTACAAAGCTTATTTGCAACCACATTGTTCAGTATTTTGAAGTCAATTGACTGTACTTAGGTAAAGTTTTTTCTATGGCTATGGATATTAAAAAAATATTTTTTTAAAAGTGAATGTGCATGTTGTAGTTGAGATTGGCCATAGAGCAGCAATTAAGCTGTTGACACTCTTGCAACTTTTTGACTGTGTATTTTGAGTTCAAAATATCATGTAAGAACCTCTTCTTAAATCAATGAGGTGTATAACAATAAATTGTCTTATACCGGACACCTAACCAAATAGCTGTTCTACAGATTACTTCTCACTACAGGAGTGAAGGAGGATTATATATGGACATGTTTTGGTAAATGCAAATCAAAGTCTTTGGAAAGTAGGACATTATTTGACATTAAAGAGAGAGACAAAAACTCAATAGTCAATAGTATTTCAATTTTAAATAAAAAATAAATGTTAATGATGAATATATTTTTCTTTTCCCTCTCAGGAGTATATTTTAAGACAAGTCGCATCAATGTATCTCAAGCTTGGATGGCCAACGAATAATTTAAACAAATCACTTGTTCAAGCATCCTACCAACATGAGTACTGGTTTTTTGTGGTTTTTTTTTAATTGTTTGCAGGATGTAGTTGTAATAATGCACTCTCCTAAAATGTGGTGTCATCTTCAGCATGTCATGCTTTCCTAGCTATGTCTTCCTTCTGTTTTTCCTTTCTGGGTTAGAGGGAGAGCTGCTGTGAGGTGAATTCCGCTTTCCTGAGTTTGGAGAACATGATTTCCTAAGTCTTAATTTAAAAGCTGACTGCACTGCATATTTAAGAACTTGGACTCATGTGACCACAGAGGTCAGGAAGAGTGCCTAACTGTAAATGGGGGCTGCTTTTGGTCCATGACCTTTCTTTAGTTGTTGCAGCAGCTGTAGGCATTAAATTGGCACTGAGATTTGTGTAGCTGGATTATCTTTGATATGTTGCCCAAATATCAGTTGCTGTCATTGTTGTAAGAAATAGCTTTTTGTAAACGTGCAAACACATTCATTAATGCAGCCTTACTGCTTTCTTTAATTTGAACAGAGAGTTGCGTCGGGAAGTCATCATGTTGGCCTGCAGCTTCGGTAACAAACACTGTCACCAGCAGGCTGCAACGTTAATCTCGGATTGGATATCTAGCAATAGGAACCGGTAAGTGCAACTGAAATGTGTATTTCCCATTTCTCCTGCTCAGAGGCAATATAGCTGGTATGCTCTTCCTCTGCTGCCCACCACCACCTGCAGTGCCCCATTCTGTGGTATGGGAGGAAGCAGAGGTCATCGGCTGTTGTTTAAAAATGCCGGTGGGGCTTCAGAATGAGTTATTTGACTTTGCATGTATGAGTGGATGGAGGGGACACCCATGTAGCCTCTGCTTGCTCCTGATAAATTGCTGTCAGATAATTACACGCTAGAAGGCGAGAAGATGGGTTTGAAGGAAGAAAGATGAGTGAACACCGCATTGGCAGACAAACACAGAGCCTGTGTCGGGGCAAGAGAGCAGAAGGTGCTAAGTGATAAAATAAGTGAGAGAGGTTAGAGGCAGAATGACGGAGAAGTAAGAAAGGAGGCAAAACAATGTGTTTGAGAGAAATGTTATGAAGTATTTCAGGGTGACGGCTTGGAAATTAAATGTGATTCAGGGATACATGGAAAAGCTCATGTAGGGTTTCAGAGAGGAGATGATACGATGCTGACGTGTTGAGCATTAGCAGCACTGTAGTGGTTTGACAGCAAATAGGTAAGTTAGGCTGTCCAGACACGGGTTTATTCAGCTGAGGCAAGGGAACACAGGCTGTGGATGGTGTATGAAGTTGTGTCTTTTACATGCAAACATCTAAGAAATATTAAATTACTAAAAATACAGGTATTTAAGTATGTAGTGACCTATGGACAATGAGATAAGTACAGAGTATAGGCTAAGACCATGTCTTCTTGAGAAAGAATGATGGATTTTCTGATTAAGTGGAATGGGTGTAGAAGTGTTTGCATAAGTACATCACATGATATTTTGGCTTAAAGGAAAATATTTTACTTTCAAGTAGCAAAGAAAAAGAAGAGAAAAAGTCTTACATTTTTAGTCCCAATTTTGTATTAGGTCTGCAAAAGGACCACACCTCTATAGACATATAGGCATGTAGGATTTTTCAAAGACGTCTTGGGCCAAGCAGGTGTTTATTTGCAATTGAAGTATGTCTGTCTCTATTTGAAAGTCCCTATATGACTTTGAAACTTCTGAAAAAAATTATCTTGAAACTATGACTATATACCTTTAAATCAGATGTGTGTGACGGCGAGGGTTTTCTTGTGTAAGATAATAGCAGGTATTATCTTACAAAAAATTATATATTTACTATGAGATACATACCCCAGGGTTTGATATGATTCTTACCATCAGCAGCAACTATCATTATGAAACTATTCAAAGAGGAGATTAAAGAGAAAGAATCATTGGAAACAATCTGCAAAAGTAATTTACTTAGATATTCATTTGCAAAATTAGTTAATCAAACCTAGCACCATCTATTAGCATGCACAGCAGTAGATTATTCAGTGTTAAAAAGCTGTCACCCTGCAAAGATTTCTCCTACCCTGTGTCTTCATCCTTTCCAACAGGATTACAAGAACGAGGCATAAAAAAAAAAGAAAAACCTTATTGCTTTACTAACAATAGCAAGAGAGGAAAGGAATAAATTTAAGAAGCCATCTGAAGATTCATCTTAGCCTTTCTGTGGGGCCATTCTTGGGAGCACAAGATTGTGGCTGCTAGCGTATGACGAGTAGTATGATAAAAGCATCACAGCGGGGCAGAGGAAGAGAATGGCTAAGTTAAAGCAGTGCATGTCTCCAAAGGAACTGCACAGTTTTGAAAAATAGCTGCAACAAATAATGTAATTACAGCGTACAATTGGCAGCCAGATGATAAATAGGGGTGCAACTTGCAGAGAAGAGAGACATGTTTTTATTTATTTCTTAAGATTATAGGATTTGTTCAATTCCCCACCCCAGAATTTACCAGTTGCTATTCTCAGGGCAGTCTCACATACCAAATGTAACACACGAGCAGGCTCATTTCATAGCTACTTATGTTGAAAAGGCATCGCAAAGGCTAGTAGTAGTAGCAGCTCGGTAGGTATAACATCAGCTTGTGTTTCACGGTAACAACATTTGCAGGGGTCTGTCAGTGTTCTCGCAGGAATGTTCGGATTCCTCCTGCCTCAGAGGATAG